AAGTGTGCTGTAAACAGAGCGTGACCTTTCATTTGGTGTAGCGCCTCTTGCTTACACAACTAAAGCTAGACATGCCTGCATGAGCAGAAGTTCTCTTTTTTTCCAACAAAACATGGACTTGATACTTGTTTTTGTTCCACTGAGGAGAAAGACAGAGGTGGTGATGAGGTGAACAGGGTTTCAGACGGATAATTATTAACGAATGAGCAATCTGCTTTCTGATACAGAAAAGTAGATTAGAAAGTAGTACCGTTAATTCAGTATCACTTAAAAGCAGCTTAATGTATGCTGTATGGGTCGGTGAAGGCCGTAATCAGATGCTGATGGAAAAACATGTTCATCATTTATGACTTACACTCATGCACTTCCAAAAACACATGCAGACCGTGCTGCTGACAGTCCGGCCGGAGAGAGGCTGGGAGTAACTGTTTGTTTACATATGAGTAGATTGTAGTCACTCCACTTGCTCATTGGATTATGGCGAGAGAGTGCCAAGTGTCCCAGATTGGCACCGGGCACTGAGGGTCAAAGAAAACAAAAGCATGCCAACAACACAGAGAAACAAACAACACGAGAGGTAGAGCGTCCGTGATTTATTAATGGTCCCTGTAGGCAGGTAAAACAAATCAATCCCACCCTGTCGCATTCTTTCTAGTGGCCAGCAGGGGGCGACTCCTCCGGTTGCAAAAATAAGTCCGATTGTAAAGAAGTCTATGAGAAAATGACTCTACTTCTCACCTGATTTATTACCTCAGTAAACATTGTAAACATTCACAGAACAGAATGTGTCAACCACAGAATGAGTGCATGAACGGTAAACCATGAACGGTACGCTACCTAGCAGAGTGAATAGTACATTTTAGATGGATTAAAACAATGTACCCAAAATCTCAAGTACCGTAATAATTTGCCTGTTCAGAATCATGCTAAAGAAAAAAAAATGCTGATGGTGGTTCAGGGCGTTTCTGTAAAAAAAAAAAACGCGCTCAGAAATGCAAAAGCAGCGCACAAAAAAGGTGACAGAAAGCCACTCCCAGGCAGCCAAAACGCCCTTTGCCTCAGGGCCTCAAGGCAGTAAATGGATTAATCAAGGTGAAAGACCTGGCAGGAGTGTAACTGCACAGAGCACGCCGGTTCAAAGCTCACGTCCCATTTAACCGTATTTAAGATCAAACTTCACGGCTTACTATCTTGGCACCATTCCCCCGGTCCGAATCAAAGTTTGAACCTCCGTGTCCAACAAGATGTCCCACTTCCTCAGAACATTGCCGTGTCATTAATTTTGAATGTTACGCAATGACTTGTTATTGAGCGGTATCTTGGAGCACAAAGTTGCATAAGACGCATCAGAGGGTGCTGTCTGGTTGTGACCTCCGTGGCGGCTGGTGCCCTGCGTGTGCTTGGATTTCTGATGGGACTCGTCTCGTTGGCTGGAGTTATCGCTCAGAAAGCTCTTATCAGTCGTCGGGTTCGAGGCTTTAGCAGATAGCAACTACAGTCTCAGTGTTCAAAAACACACCCTAATGACAGAGAAGCCTGAAAAGGAATTATGATCTTTTTTAATAAAGATGATATATGTGGATACACCTGTAATCCATACGGTTAAAATTGCTGATTAATTGTCCTTAATTAAAACCTAGAGATACAGGGAAATATCCTAAATAATTGAATGTGTTTATTTCAATTCATCAATACTAATTACATCTTCTATGAAGCAAAGGATAAAAGGAACAGGTGCGTTTCACACAAATGTTTAAGATGCTGAAAACCCATTTGGACAGCAATATACACGTAGTACTCAATGTTTATTTAGAAGACAGGTCAGTTTGGTTTGTACATGACAATGAGTTGACTCAACTAACAATGACTCATTCAACTTCTAACAGAGTAGTGAATAGATACATAATAGAATGTGAATAAAATACAAAGTGTTTCAGTTTACCCAGGCGTAGTGATATCTGAACATGTGGATAATTTCCCTTTGAATGGACGCAATAAAATACGTTTTCTGGACTCACAATTTCTATGTTGCATTGAAACAACAAGAACACTTAACAGCAACCTCATTTTTTAAATTAGATGCTCACAATCTAACCCCGGCCTTCTTTGTTACTCCATCTGCTTCGCTTTACTGCTGCGAGGGCTTTTATCTCCCGCTTTAACCCAAAACCGAGGCCCAATCCAGGTCACCGAAAGGCTACGGCGGCTACGGCGACCTCTCGACCCCCCCCCCTTCTGCTCTTGTGCCAAATGATGTAACCGAGCAGAGGGTCGGCCGGCTGAGCGGGGAGACCCGGGCAGACGGATTAAACAGGTATAAGGATCACAGTGTGGAATGGCAGCGATGTGTGAAGCTGATCCAGTCAGTTTAGAGCGGGGAAGGTCACTGTGTGCAGTCTGCCTCGCCCTGCCAGCCGAGCAAAGAAAAACAAGAAAGATGCCCAGCACAGTACTTCTGAACGGGATCTCCCTGTCCTCACCTCCCCTGACATTTGCGTGAGATTATGTGGCAAGGAGTTCGATCGCACCCCGAGGCGGCGGCGCATCAGAAGTGGCTTTGGCAAGTGTTAGGTGTACTTTTTTACTCCCTCTGTATATAAAACAGCTGCTGGGAACACAAATTAGTCCCCGTACGGTACATGCTGTTCTCTCATACGTGCCCTGTATTTGTGATTGTTGCTAATGTGTGTCAGCTTTAGCCTCCAGGCCCCCATCTGCAGCTGGTATACCAAATGTACATGCCATACCTCGTTTTTGCTGTGTTCTACACTGAATTGACAACCCTGATGACATCACAATGATATCATCAGGGTTATGTTTATCTTTACTTCAAAATGTCTGGAACTGTTTGGAAAAGGGCGAGCACTTTTATAAAAAATACTTCTGCCAATCAAACTCTCGCCGAAGCCAGTCGGGGAGAAGAGCGAAAATATTATTTCCATCGACAAAAAGTTGCTAAGAACGCTTCTCTGTGTCGTGTCACACACACCTAAGCCACGCCCCTAGCCGCCAGTAGCTCCTCACGGGCCGCCGATTGGTCCGGTCGCAAACGCATTCCGCGTGACCCCGGTGACCTTTTGAGAATCCAGCTGCCGGTGCAAAGGAACACATCAAACAGCTGTTTGTCAACTGATCTTCTTCGAAAGTCCTTCTCGACTCATCCGTTTCTTCCCGTTTCCATCTCTCGTATCGGGATTCACCGCGTCCTTTCATGAAAAACGTCGCACAAACCAAGCATGAGTAATAATCAACGGGAAGGCTTTTGGTAAACATCATCCCCCCCAATCTGTCAGTGAGCAACAGGGGACAGGAAGTGTTTACGGTGGCAACACATCACCAACAAGTCCCTCTGAATGAGGACGCTGACGCACCGCTTAATCATCCAGCCAATTCTCTCTCTGTCCCTCTGTGCCTCCCTGCCAAAATCTCACTACAAACACCCCCTCCTCTTCCTCCTGCTGGTACTCAGTCCCAGCACGAGCTGATGCATGCCACGGAAGCAGTGACGTCAGTTGTTTACTGTCTTGTGGGACGCTGCTAGTTGCAGTGCAGCAGCACATCCAGCAGGGCTTATGTAACCTCGCTGCCCGCTGCACGACAGGAGCGTTACTGCAGTGTGTGTGTGTGTGTGTGTGTGGGGGGGGGGTCTTCATGGTGCAGCCTGCACGGCATCACACAGCCCCAGCTTTCCTCTCCGCTGCATTGTGATGTGTGTGTGTGTGTGTGTGTGTGTGTGTGTGTGTGCTGTGAAAACACAGCGGGTTCACTGCTGGAGCACATAGTAGCTCCAAACGGACCACCTCCCTTCCCGACAGACGCACGCACATATCCCAGGATCCTCCACGGCAGCAGCAGCGGACAGGTAAACAACCCCTGGCTCTGGCGTGTGACTCCGGCATCGCGCACGCGCTGCTCGCTCCGCCACAGGCGCGGGTCGCCCCCTGTCAGCAGCAGGAAGCAATGAGCAAGACCAAATTTGGGTTGCTGTCAGATGTGAGGAGTCTCAAAGAATATAATCATAAAAGTCCTCCCCCCCACCTTTACACATAAGGTAGAATAAAGATGCGTACCCTTACTGGTATTGTGATGCTAGTTTCACCTTCATAGATGCTTTTCTGTTGGTCATTCATACCTTTTGTGATCTTGTTTTTCAAATTCGCGCATGCGCCCGCACAAAGGTCAAAGGTTAGGGTCATTGATTGAGCCCCACACCTCATGGCCTGGAAGAGAGAATCGCTGTTTTGCTGCCATCCAAATAAATTACTAAACTGTATAACTTTTATGAAAAAAAAACTTTGTGGAATCTACGTCGGGGACCAACCTCAGATACCTTCGATTGGGAACAACACATCACTGCTTTTTCTTTTCAAGTAATGGCATGTACTTGGCGTAACTTGCCTTCTAACGCCGCAAGAGTCAAAACAAGCTGATGATGGAAACAAAGCACGAGGTTAAAAGTTGTGAAGCTGCTATCCAAACACGAACAGGCAAGAAATACGTCTGTGCAGCCTGAAATGACCGAATCGAGGACATGTCAACTGAAATAAGTCCCTTAAATAAGCAAAAAGAATATAGTTATTCTTATCATACAGTATTTGTTTTGTACAAAATGATCCCAGGCCCATCTGGCATTATCACAATCTTCACTGAAGGTAAGGCTGCTGCATTAATGACCAACCAGGGAGGTCTTAAGTGTTAATAGTGCCACCTGCAACCAGAGGACTCTGATCCAAATACGTCCACATAATCATTGTAGCGACAGGGAAACACCTTCTTGCGCTCAACAAGTGCGCATTCCTGTATTTTACTACCAGTTTACTACTGGTTTACAGGCTCAAGACCAGATCCATTATGGTAAACAACCCTCCCTCACTGCAGCATCTCGGTGTCGCCCTCTGCTGGCGAAAGGGAGGAGCAACAATGTTGCGCTCTGCAGGGCATTCACACGATAAAGGTTCCGCTTTTGTTTCCGGGGGAAGGTATTCCTGGCTGGTCCCTGCTCTGAGTACGAGGAAGTAGTCCAACATGTAGCTCGCGGGGAGAAGCCTGCCATTCGCTACCTCTTCTTTGGAGGATAGAAAAGCAAGAAAGGTAACATTAAAATAAACATGTCTTTATTTAGTCAGCTCGTATCGTTACTGTTTCTAAATGAAGCTGGAGAACAACAGCTTCAACGGTCTGTTTTCAAAATTAGAGCGCGACGAACATCCTTCCTGTTTTGATGTGTGTGTGTGTGTGAACGGAATTCCACATTTAGCTGCCATTAAAACACTAAATTACTCTGAAATATTGACTAAGTAAATACCCGTAACTTCTCTGGACAGACACGGCGGTACAACACAGACGTCATATGACAACAGATGCTTTTATTTTGAAAATAATCAAACCGGAGTTGACAGTAGCTTTGCGCTTGACATATGAATGTACATATAAACGTTTATTTGGAGCTAATAACCAGTACGAGATGCTACACTTCACATGAAATTGAACGTGAAAACGTAGTATTGGATTTAATACGTTCCACCATCTTTAGGTAAACTTCTGTGTTTTAGTTTTGTTCCGTTTCCTGCTTGTTTAAAGAGCTCTTGTTTGGAGACATGTCCGAACCTGTTGAAGTTCGATCTCTGTGGACCAATAATCTGCCTGTATTCATAATCATAAGGATGTTTTATTGTTGATATTAAATCAAGCCTGATTGTGAGGGCAAATATCACAAAAATAATGATATCCTCACATTAAAGAGGCTGATATTCAAATCTTTCCATTTGAATTTGTTCAAAATAGATGCTGATTATTTTTCATTTATGATGCATTTATTGGATTTTTCATTTGGCTGATTTTATTTATTTCAGATTTCACCATGGCGGGAACTTCCAGCAGCGATGCTGCAGGTCAGCCCTTTGTTGCTGCTCAGGTCCCTTTCCTTCACCTTTGTAACACTTTAGAGAAAATCCAGAAGACTAAACTCCGCCCAAAGAAATCCAAGGTCCTTGGGGATTTCATTGAGTCATGGAGGAAGTTTCACTCTGCCCTCCACAAAGACAACCCAGATACAACCGACTCTTTCTACTCGGCCATGCGCCTCATAGTCCCCTCCTTCGAACGAGAGCGAATGGCGTACGGCATAAAAGAGAACATGTTAGCTAAACTCTACATCGACGTGCTGGGCCTCCCAAAGAATGGCCCAGAAGCCAATAAACTGTTGAACTACCGCGCTCCGACTACATCCCAAACAGAGGCCGGAGACTTTGCCGGCATGGCGTACTTTGTGCTGAAGAAACGGTGTGCCAGCCAAGGAACCCTCAGCATCAAAGAAGTCAATGACTTTCTGGACTCGGTGGCCCTCAACAACGCGGACAAGCAGAAAGATCTCGTGAAAAAGAGCCTGCTGCACCTCATCACCCGGAGCTCGGCCCTCGAGCAAAAGTGGCTCATCAGGATGATCCTGAAGGACATGAAGCTCGGGATCAGCAAAGAAACCGTCCTCGGGGTCTTGCACCCGGATGCGGCCGAGCTCTACAACGTCAACACGGACTTGAACAAGGTGTGCCGGCAGCTCCACAGCCCCTCCGTGTCCTTAAGCGAAGTCTCCATCGGGCTCTTCTCCGCTTTCAAGCCGATGCTGGCGGGTGTGGCGAACATCCGCAACGTGGAGAAACAGATGGGAAATGCCCCTTTTTACATTCAGACCAAGCTGGATGGGGAGCGCATACAACTGCACAAAGACGGCGACGTGTACAAGTACTTCAGCAGAAATGCTTTTGAGTACACCCAGCAGTTCGGAGGGTCCCCGCTGCAGGGCTCCCTGACGCCTTACATCCACAACGTTTTTAAAGGCCACGTCGTGAACTGCATCCTCGACGGCGAGATGATGGCGTACAACCAGACCACTGAGACCTTCATGCAGAAAGGGAGCAAGTTCGACATCAAGAAGCTCATGGACGACTCCGAGCTGCAGACGTGCTTCTGCGTGTTTGACGTGTTGCTGGTCAATGACCAGAAGCTCGGCAGGGAACCCCTGAAGAAGCGCTACGAGACCCTTCAGACGGTTTTCACGCCAGTCAAGGGACGGCTGCACCTGGTGCCAAAGGCCGACGCCAGGACCATGCAGGAGGTGGTGAACGCCCTGAATGACGCCATTGACGACAGAGAGGAGGGGATCATGGTGAAGGATCCCATGTCCATCTACAAACCTGACAAGCGGGGGGAGGGATGGCTGAAAATAAAGCCAGAGTATGTGGACGGCTTGATGGATGAGCTTGACCTGCTGATTGTCGGTGGCTACTGGGGGAAAGGGAGACGGGGCGGTATGATGTCCCATTTCTTATGCGCCGTAGCCGAGGCGCCAAAGCCCGGCGAGAAACCCTCAGTTTTCCACACTCTCTGCCGCATCGGCTCCGGCTACACCATGAAGGAGTTGTACGACCTTGGTCTAAAGCTGGCCAAGCACTGGAACGTCTATCGGAAGAATGACCCGCCAGCATCCATCCTGTGTGGAACGGAGAAACCAGAGGTCTACATCGAGCCTTGCAACTCAGTCATCCTCCAGGTCCGGGCGGCCGAAATAGTCGGCAGCGACATGTATAAAACCAACTGCACCCTGCGCTTCCCAAGGATCGAGAAGATCCGCGACGACAAGGAGTGGCACCAGTGCATGACCCTGGCAGAGCTGGATCAGTTCCGCAGCAAGGCGTCCGGGAAGCTCGCCTCGCGGCACCTCCATATCGACGGCGACGAACCGCAAAAGAAGAAGCGCAAGCCGCCGGCCAAACCCAAGAAGGTGGTCGGGATCATCGACCACTTCAAGCCCCAGGACCTCTCCGGGGTCACCAAGGAGACTGATATGTTCGAGGATGTGGAGTTCTGTATCCTGAATGGCACAGAGGATTGCCCCAAGGCTGAGCTGGAGAAGGACGTGGCCAGGTAAAGTGAAAAAAGCCTTTTGTGTCAAAATCAAACAATAGTGTGAATCCTAAATAATGAAATGATTACTGGTGTCTTTGTCTCATTAGGTGTGGAGGGATCGTGGTTCAAAACCCGGGACGGGACACCTACTGCGTGATTGCCGGCGCGGAGAACGTGCGCGTGAAGAACCTGGTCTCGTCCGACCAGCACGACGTGGTGTGGGCCTTCTGGCTGCTGGACTGCCTGGCCCGGAAGGAAGTGGTCCCGTGGCAGCCACGCCACATGATCCACATGTCGCCCTCCACCCGGGAGCACTTCGCCAAGGAGTACGACGGCTACGGCGACAGCTACTTTGCGGACACGGACGAGCAGCAGCTGAGGGAGGTGTTCGGGCGGATGAGGGGCGCGGACGCGGTGGTGAACGCCGGCCAGGTGGAGCAGCGGTACGGATGGGAGGACCTTCCCACCAGCATGTTCAGACCCTTCCAGGTTTACATGGACAGCTGCGCCGACATAGGAGACCCTGAAACCGCCATAGCTGCCACCTGTTTGGACATCAGGGCTCTGGAGTTTCGCTACCATGGAGGTACGGTGATGCAGAGGTTAGAGGAAGGAGTCTCTCATGTCATCATCTCAGAGGAGACCAGACTTCTGGGTTTAAGGACTCTGAGACGCCGCTTTAGGGAGAAATTTAAGATTGTAAGGGACTCATGGGTGACGGATTCAATCAAAGCAGGGCACCTGATGAATGACACGGACTACTTGCTTTGAAGAGTCTTCTGGTGACACACAGAGGATTTAAGGAAAGAAGTCCTTGTATAGCTAGCGTTTTAATTAATTTACTTTAAACGGGTCGAAAAATAAATAATCACTGTTTTAAAACGACACTGTACCGTACAGGGATGCTACTTCTCAGGGGGTTCATGCAAACTTTATGAGTTTTAATTTTAGTCTTCTTCATGAGTGATTAAGGCGGCTTGTTTTTAGTTTTAAATGAATACGCCACTGTAAAAGTCAGAAGACAATGATTGGTTTTTCAAATTTTTAAAGTTGGAATTAAATTGTGAATTTTATAAATACGGAAGCTGATTAATCTTTTTTCAAATAAACTTTTAGCCGAGCAGTTATTAACACATTTTATGGAACGAGGTTTTCCACAATCGAGGTTTGGGTTTGATTTACTGTTTAAAAATATGAAGCTGCTTTCATCCTAACTGTTCTGCCTTTAGATATGAAATCATGAAACAAAATAATCCACAATGGACTGATATAAATTCACAGATAGTCTATAATAATGTTATCTTTCTATGAGGCAACGGAATTGTTGGGGGGGATTATTGTGGCGAGCCTTGAACATGTCGCTGTCTTTTTGATTTTATTTTTTCACATGTGAAGCACAACTCTAATAAATACCTTTTACTCTTTAAAACACGACTTCTGTGTAAAGCGATGGCCTTTGCCTCGGCTCGTCGGCGCTCACTCAGCCGGCCGAGAGAGAGAGAGAGAAACACGGTTCCGCTCAAGGCCCTCCAACGAAGACGTGGCCGTGTTTTTCGCCGTCTTCCAAAATGTCACCGATACGCCTTGGGACTCATTGATATGTTATAACCTTCATTACCACGGCCTCTAGGGTGCAAGGTAGCTGCCTGTGGTGTCGTGGGCATTGTTGTGCTTAAATGCCGCATGAATACATTTTCAAAGGCAAAGCGATGAGGTACCTGTTCTCAATCACCTACACCGGAGAACGTCTCTTATTGGCACGTCGCGGCGCTCCCTGCAGGGCTCGTTATTCTGTCCAACAAATTAATTAGAAGTCTACCTCTGAGACAGTCTTGGCTTCAGCAACACAAAAAGCATAAAACAGTTGAGAGCATACGATTCAAGATGAAGACATTGTGCCTCGGTAGGCCCTCTTGTAACCCGTCGCCCACTCTGGACTATTTCCAGGTGCTGCGGCGTGAGCGTTGGACTGACAGGCCTCAATTAGAGGAACTCAACCAGCGCTCGTTCCAGCGTGGCCTCGTGTGCACGCGTTGCTTGCAGCACAACCGTTGGTCTTGAAAAGTCTCGACTTGCTTGGTCCTCGTCAGGAGCAGATTGGCAGCCAGCTGAAAGCTAGCGTGGCAGAAACACCGTGCCCTAATGGGATAAATGCCCTAATTGGGATGCTTTTTTGGAGAGATGGTTTCCGGCGAGCACGCTCGGACACGATGGGGAGCAAATGGTTTTGTAAGCGGCACCCCAATTCGTTTTCCACAGATCAATGCACTGATCACTGATCTCTAAAACACAAAGGCAGCCTGTACTTTTGTATGAATTATAAAGTACACTTGAATTTTAAGTGAGATAAAACAAGCTAAATGCATCGGTGTTGTCCTTTAAGGAGAAAACAGGCTCCTTTCTTTTGATGGGAGCATCTTGCCTGTAGCTGAAACCAGGTGAGTACCAACCTGTCTGACTGCTACAGTGTCAAGACAACTACAATACAGGCCATAATAAGGCTGTTAGTGGAAAATTTCAAAATAAAATCACAGTCATCACAAACTATCCCTAGCAGCACGTTTTATTGTGCTGTGTCGTCAGTACAGCTGATGCTTTCACTTATAGCGGTTGCTTTTTTTGTCCTGTATCTTTTGTTCCACAGACTTAAATAGTTGATAGTATTTTATGTTGGTGGCTGACATCATAGGCTTTAATTTTGAAGTCACAATCATAACATTCCTGGTGTCATTTCAGCGGGCTCTCTCTGACTTGACGCACTCCAGTGCTGAGGGATGCGGCGACTGCGATGCGCGCGCATAACGTCAGCGATTGAGAAGTTTGTCAAGGTAGGAAGATTAGGCAGCACAACGCCGGATGTTGGGCGATTTCACCATCAAAATAAAATGTATATCTGAAACAAAATATAATTTTGTGGTGATTCAAAATTCCGTATACATTATTATTTCCAATGCTTTATTGTGCTGAACAGTATGCATTTGTAAATGCACGAGAAGGCTATACGTTGTTTTGTCTACAAATCTGTAAAATGACAATAAAACAAGTCAAACACATTTAATAAAATGAGGAAGCTGGATCCTGGAAGAGTCTAGACCAGGTGTTCCTACACTGGGGGTCAGGGTCTCACGATCTGAAGAGGGTAAGAGAGATAAGAAATAAAAACATGTTTGTTACTCAGTTACGTAGAATTATGTTTAATGGGTCACAAATAAAAACTGTTTTGTGATCAGGGTGAACAGATGTTGGGACACGTTGGTCTATATAACGGGACACATGAAACAAGTTTCTCAGGCACGAAAATAAACACGACCTTTATTTTGAATGCTGCGACCGGAAATGCTGACTTAACTCAGCTTCCTGCAAAAACACACACCGTCTCCTGGCGAACATGGCGGCAACTTGACAACGGCAGCGAGATGAAGACGGCGAGGGCTTGAAAAAGAAAATAGGTCCGTACCAGGCTGCAGGCCCATCCGCCGACACAAAGGCAGACAGCTTCGCCATGTTGGAAGAGGATAGCGCCCTTGTCCCTGCACGACCGAGGCCGGGGAAAACGTAAAAAACGCGTCGGTGAGTGTTTCTAAAAACGGAGTCGGGGCTACGCAGAGGAGCGGAGCGGCGCGGCGCGGAGCTCGGGGCGGGCGGGAGGACAGCGGCTTCACCGGTCAGCCATGGAGGATGCGGCCCGTGGTCGCCAGCGTCTAATTTCCCATCCGGCCCACGCTCGTTTTAATGGGAATTACCGCTGAACGCAAAGGCAAGCCGGGACAACCCACCGCCTGACATTCCGAGGGGAAGAAAACGCGAAGCGGACCCCCACGTCAATGACTGTTGCGGCAGAGGAGCCCCCACGGTGGAGTCGGCCGGTTCCCAAAATATGACCAGGGGTGCTGGGACGTGTTGGCAGCAAGAAGATGACGACGGCTTCCAAATCTGGCTAGAGCCCCCCCGCGACAACCAAAAGCCATTCACCGACTCCGAGAGGGCGCAGAGATGGCGACTGTCCTTGGCATCCCTCTTGTTCCTCACCATCCTCCTCTCTGATCACCTGTGGTTCTGCGCCGAGGCCAAGCTGGCCCGGACCCGGGTCAAGTTCGCGTCCTCCCACCTCCTCTCACCCCAGACCCACTCAGCACACAGCAGCCTCAGAGGAACCCCAGATGCTATTTTTATAGGAAACTCTACCAAACATGTGTGGCGTCTTGAAACTTGCCACCGGGATAGTTTGTCTAAGAACTGCTTCACTTTCGCAGACGCCGACCATTTGTGCGGGGGCCTTTCCGACAAAGAGGGGACGCCGGCTGTAAATATGAGCGATTTGTACCTTTCCTTTTGTAACTCCTACTCCCTGCTGGATTTGTTCTACGGGTCGACGAGTCCGGACAATTTGAACTGCAGCCTCGACGTGCTCGGCGACGGCGACACGGGCAGATGCAGCCTGTGCGTCCAGGCGTACCAGCGCTACGACCAGCACGCCCAGGAGAAATACGAGGACTTTGAGCTCCTGACTCAGAAATATGAGCCGGGGGCATATTCGGTGAGGACGTGCATGGAGCAGTGCAAGGTAGGCTGCAGAAAAGGGAAGGGGGGGTTGGGGGTGGAGGAGGAGGAGGAGGGGGGGTTGGGGGTGGATGTGGTGGTGGTGGCCATCTGTTGATTTGGGCCCGGATAGATGCCAGTTTTGGTCCTCCTCCTCCTCCTGTCGCCATGGAGACGGATGACATATTCAAGGAGACTCCCGGCTCCGGCCCTCATGTTCATTCATCTCCTCATTGTGTTTAGGCCCCATGCTAATGTGCAGATGGAGGCCCTGCTTGTGTTTTTCTTACAGCATCCGGAACCATTGCTCCGTCTCCCCCGTTCTCGGTCCCCCGCTCCGGTGTTCGACATCGATGACCGCCCGGTGCCTCTCGCGGCTCACACCCCCCCCCCCCCCCCACCGATTAGCCAACGATAACCCGGATGGGGTTGTTAGACCCGCACTGTTGCACGAGCCTTTTTTTAATGACCGTTTAATGAGCAGGAAGGAAGCCTATGTAAACAACTCCGGGGGAGCCTGTGTGTGTGTGTGTGTGTGTGTGTGTTTGTGTGTGTGTTGTCGCAGTCCGCCAGGTGTTCATCATGGCTGCCCCCACTCCATATCGAGAGCATTTCATTAAAGTCAAGAGGTGGTTTCCCTGCCTAATGTGGCGGAAGGCTTTCTTCAGCTGGACATGTGTTTGCTCATTACAAGGCCCGCGCGCATAGGGGCCTCGTGTCAGAGCCCGGGAAGAGCGGGGGGGGGGGCTGTTTGATCACCGTGCACTGTTTACCCAGCTCACCACAAAAAACAAAGCGGGGGTCAGAGTTGATTGTAACGGGGTGTCCGGGAGACGCGGAGGGCCACGAGAGGCTGCCTTCAGCACCGCGGAGAGGGCTCCGGAGCTGTCCGTGGTGCTGAATGGCTCTTCTCCTCCCCCCCCCCCCACCCCCCCTCGGGCTCCATTCACAGAAGCCCTGGCCAATCCCAGATGGCCTCCATTCACCCAACCGGTGGCAGAGACACGCGCATATATAGGCGTCAAAACGCGATTCTGATGAGGCCATCTGCCCGCTTATACAAAACCAGTGCAACGCAGACGGAGCCACTGGGCCTAGACTGCAAGGCTAGCTTAAATTTAGAGGAGGAAGAGCATAGAAGACTGTGTGTGTGTGTGTGTGTGTGTGTGTGTGTGTGTGTGTGTGTGTTGTATTCATCAAACAATGATTCACTTTCTTTTATATTCTCTGTTGGATGTTTTAATCCCGGCAAAGACAACACAGCTTTTTTTTTTATACAGTTGGAAACGATAATTCCAGCATTCATACAAATTTCACATTGTTATCAACGTAAACACACACACACACACACACACACACACACACAAACTTTGTGCATACACGAAGTAGAGCTTTCACGTGTCTTTTGCAGGTACAGCTGTATATGGGATGGGTTTAAAGCCGCGCTGTCGCCTACATGATTCATTCTGTTCGGTGCAGTTAGTCGAAAACTCGTTGTAGTTGGATTTTGGACTTTCTGTGCCAACAAAACAAGGCGTTAGAAGACTTTTTTTTGGGACGATTAACAGATGAAACAATGGTCGGATGAATCAACAGCAGATAAAATAACCAGTCGCAGCCCCAGTTCTCATATTCCCCATGAATCATCGTCGCTGGAAGCTCAAAACACTCATCACACCAAGGTTCTTTACTTATGTTGAGTCGGTAAAGCCTGACCGAAGCTACTTCAGAGTTTAACTTCAAGGTTGGTCGGTTGCCGGCTGTAGAATATGCAATCGTGTCACACAGGAAAAGAAAAGGCGATGGCCACCGTTGTGAAATAGACGTGCCGTGCCGGCAAGTATCAGCCATTGATGGGAGCATTTCCTTCCCTCCACGAGCTGACCTCCTGACACTCGGAGAGAAAACAGTCATTTAGCCACGCTGACTAATTCCTTCTGACCGCCTCTTCTCCATCGCCTTCTTGATTATAGGTTTTGGTCCCGCGCGGCCGGCAGCGGCGCAGGAGCGAGCGGTGCCAACTCGAAAGCGGTAATGTGGAGCTCTCGTTGAGTTAATGGCTACCTGCCTTCATGGGCAGCTCAGGCGGGTGCTTGCTGTGCGAGCTGTCTGACATACAGCAAGACAGGACTGAGCCGGGGTGTGAAAACACATCAACCGGAGGAAGGTCTCTGACACCTCAAGGGATGATGTCTGACACGGAGAGCTGCGTTGTTTGTTTGCGTGGTCCGCAGGTGGCGCTTTGATTCCTCTAGCCCGAGGTGAAACATCACAAGGCCGGACGCGATCGGTGTGCTGTTCCTCACGATGGGATTCTCCATCGTCTGACTGTGTGAAACACACGACTGTGATATACGCGCTGATACATCTGTAATAATCAATAATAATAACTATGAAAGTGGGACGAGCAAAACGACCTTTAAGGCCTTCAAACACAGTGTTTTGTTGTTACTTTCTTCATCGATTAATCTGCAGGTTGTTTTCTCTTTCATCCATTGCATCTCTCACTGGTGTGAGGTGGGCATGGACAGTGTTGTGGTAGTTTGTGGCAGGGCGATAATTCAATATGATGACTAGAGTATACAAAACCATACGGTTATTTCATATAGACTATTTATTGAATTACCAGAAATCTTGCTGTGTTGTGATATTGTTATTGAGATATGAAATTAACTATATCGAGATGTAATATTTTGGCCGTATCACCCAGTTTGTGACAATTGGATTAATTTCACATTTTTTTTATTAATACTGTGTGTATTTGTATGGAGGCCTTTGTTTAATCCAGTTTGTCTTGAGTTTGGGCATAAACTAAATACAATCAACTAATACAAAGCTTACAGAGTGAGAGACTGGGGGTCCCCTTAGGGGTCCCCTTAGGGGCCCCTTTAGAGGTTTAATCCGGCCCTGCTGGGGATGGAACGCACAACACATGGTTTGTCAGGTTTTCCCCACCAGAAACGAGGCGTTTGAGGGCTCTTGGTTTCGTAGAAACATTTTTTCACACGCTGGCGATCTGTTTGACGACAGCAATGAATGCTCTGCTGCACAGGTGTCTGCAGCCTTATTCCTCCCTTGCAGTTTCACTCATTTGTGAGCTAAAAAGATGGATCTCTCTCCCTGCTTATTCTCTGTCTGTAGCTACTGCTGTGTTGTAAAATACTTTCAAAACCAATCACTGATGAGCCACACACACGCGCGTTCCAGGTCCAATTGAATGTCTAATCTTAGCCGGTATTGTGTGCGAGTGGAAAGGAGGATAGCGTCCACGGCGTCCTCTCTTCAGATCCTTGTCCACCGCCCACATCTGCATTGATCTGAGCTCCTTTTGAGCCGGAGGGACGGGTGGCAGCAATACCAAGAGGTTGAACCCTATCGATTTGCGCCGAGCCCCTCCGCCATCTCTTGTCCTTCATTTGAGAGCGGGCAGCTCCTCCGAACGACATAGGGCAGTGAAGACATCATGTCACTATCTGAACCTGTCTGATTATGCCGAGGACCTGTATGTGTGTGTGTGTGTGTGTGTGTGTGTATGCTTTAGGTAGACCGAGCTGCACTCTCCTCATCTGTTACCTCCCCATCTACATCATAACAGTGGACAGTTATGCCATTCAGCAGTAAATGATGTGTAACAACAAGGATATCGGTTCTCAGTTGGGGGGGAGGCACTGAAACATAATCTAAACACAGATGGAGCCTCATGAAGTCATGCATTTCTCTCTTCGGGTTTGAAAAAAGGCTTGAACTCCACATTATAAATCTGTCCTTTCAACAGAGTCTCACCAAAATGTGCAAAAAGTTCAATCCCTTGGTGATCCCCCGATTTTTCCTCCTGCGCTTGGTCAAAATCTTCATTTGGTTTCTGGCTAAATACCTGTAAAGTTAATGGCAGGAAGTGTCTTTAAACCTGCATTTTTCTCTACTGTCCACCAGGGGGCGACTCCTCTGGTTGTATAGAAGTCTATGAGAAAATGACTCTACTTCTCTCTTGATTTATTACCTCAGTAAACATTGTAAACATGAGTTTATGGTCTCAATCTCTAGTTTCAAGTCTTCTTCAATACAGCATGATGTTCATTTAGTAGATTATGGTCCATTTAGAGTCACACAGACCATAAAGCAGTCGATGCTTTAGGACCAATATTGCCATGCAGATCCATCAGTCATGTATGTAGCTGTATTCTTTGTATTCCAGTGTTTTGTGTACACATCCAACCGGCAGTGACTATAACAGCTCTCAGAGTGGAGGTGGCTCATATGCGGGTAGCTTTGATTTGTCCCCCTCCCGCTCATCCCCCTGTACTTGACAACAAGACATGGATACACACACTCTCTCATCCCCAAATCTATCATTAATCTTACAGTAATGAATGTGGTTTATCTCATCTGCATGAATATCCTGTGACCACTCGTGCCTTTATTAAAGTAAATGCTGCCTTTGTTAGCCTTTTATTCGTCACTCATATTGGCTCCAGCCTCGTGCGCATTAATGAACGACAGGTTGTTGCATCGGCCACCCGTCCAGGTTGCACACGGAAGCGCTCACATGTGTGATTTATGCCCGCGGGGCGGGTGTGAACGCTGACCTTGGAGAGGGCTTTGTCCCTTCGAGATGCTGGGCCCGCTCCACGACGGCCCCTTTTTTATGAATGGGCAGATCCCTGAGCGGCATGCCAATGAGCCTGGGAGGAGAGAGAGAGGGAGGGAGGGAGAGGGAGGGAGACTAGCTGCTGCAGTGCACGGCAGCGCTTCCATATTTGAACTGTGAGATCACGTGAGATAACAGCAGGGCTGGCGGAGGGAGGGGAACCGCACCATGGGGGATACAGGGGTTAAAGTGGGTTACCCAATTAATAGGCCTAATTTAACCTCTGTGGCATTTCCATTATGGCTGCCATGTGAAGTCATTTCTCTGGCCTACAGTAATGTTGTCAATCAAAGGTGGTCATTAAAGCCACATTGTCACTTTGTAAAGGAATGATTCCATTTATGGAACGAATGGCATTCCCATCAGCCTCAGCTGTA